TTTATATTTATATATATGTATATTCCCTTCATTTTACCGTGGCATATGTATTTTCCCCCACAAAAAAACATATTTTTCTTAATTAAACCGAACAAAATGAACAGAGAGAGATAAAAGGACTAAACTAAGTATCAGCAAGCCTCAGCTGACTGCGATTTGACAGGTAAACTCAGCAAATGATGCATTTACGATACCCTTTGAGGAATGATGATCTTGAGAAATTGACCATAAACTAGCAGGTGTCGAGTAATTACTCTAAGATTGGCTTGGAGAAGTCGTGACCCACGCGGTCTTTTTCTTCTCTGGTATCACCTAGGGACACATAATCCTTAAAACTAAACTGTCTTAGAGTGCATTCCCATATATTTCTAGATCGATCTATCCCCGTGGGGAGTCTCACTAGATTGTTGTCAGCCTGACCGGCTTAAATGTCTGTCCCGCCTACTAAAAGCTGTAAGGGGGTAATTAACTTTCGTGTGCGCTCGGCTCTCGGAACCTGACAGCAATTTAGCGTGAATCCCCAAGGAGTTAGGTCGATCCGATTAGATCGATCTAAATCTATGGGAACCCCGTCTTATGTACGATATCATGCCACGACGTAAAAAAGGGAAAATGATTTGTCAAGACGTCGTGGCAATCTGCAAAATAGGTTCTGTTTTAAACCAGTGTTTCAAGTTGACCACAATATACAGATGACAAAATTAGGTATAGCTTCGTGCATGTAATGCTTCTCAAAACTTACTTTACAAATGCAATTGCTCAGCTTTACAATGCCATGGCAAGAATATGGAAAGGGATCCGTATGATTTTACGTGTCCCCGGTTCAAGGTTGAAACAATGCCGTACATGTACTTAACCTGAACTTATACTGAACATTGAATCAATAGCGCATATACAGTATAATGGTGACTTAAATTAACTCAGTAAGAAATCTCTGTTGATCAACGTCTTAGCAAAAAGTCATTACGTTTACGCAAAGCCGTGTGTCTACCGAGTTGATAAACACAAATGATAGATAGTAGACTAACAACTGAGGTATGCAACATACGTTACTTCCGGTTGATCGCCAGACACCTGTTCGTCAATGTTAAACACGTTCAATGGAGCTTCTTCCTTATAAAAGCGTGGCCATCAGATAGGAATGATACGCACCTACTATGCAAATAATTAATAGTTGCGTTGTTTGTTGCGAAATGACGCACTGCTTATATCAACATATTAGGTTCATTATTCAATCTACAGACGGTCATTCGCGTGGATGTCCGGGAAAGAAAAAATATTGACTGTACAACCATTGTTTATGCCATTCCTCACACAATATGCACTTACAAACATGGACATAAACTATTTTCGTTACTATGTTCTATTCACGTTGGCCACAAGCTCACGGTATAGGCCTATACAAAGAACATTTTCAGCTTGTGCTAAATAATTATCATCTGTGTTCCAACTACCAAGCTAATGAGCATTTTGCCCAATCCCATTTAAATCCCATCCAGATTATTTAAATTTTTTCTCACATTTTAGCAATAGGAGCCCTGTTTGGAAACATCGTCTGCCTGGCCACATGCAAGAAGAGCCAGAAGTTTTCCCGGAAGCTCCACGCGCATCTCATTACGCATCTAGCCATTGCCGGGATAGCATTAACAGCATCCGGTCACGTGATGTTCACCGTCTCAGCGTTTGCCGGCACATGGGTGTTTGGCGATTACGGTTGTGTCCTTGCCGCCTTTCTCTGCTACTTTTTCGCTCTCGTCTGCTCCAACATCCACGTAGCCATCAGTGTGTACAGATATATTGAAGTCTGCAAGCCACACCTTAGTAAGTTAAATGTACTTGTCATAATTTTGAATTCCACATAATCAGATACATGTATAAGCACGCGATAATGCTTTTACCAAATGGTAAATTATTGTAAAGATAGACTGATTGCAGATCAGGGGCGGATTTAGGCCGTCTTCTGGGTCTTCTGGAAGACGGTCAGATTTTTAAGTTTTCATTTACGTGTATCTAATTTTTTCTGTCGGAAGACGTTCAAAAATGAAGGCTGGAACAGCAAAGATAATTTGGAAGACTGTCAGAAAATATCTCTGGATCCGCCCCTGCAGATATACCTGTATCATTGATGGGTGTTTTCTATTTTCTTGCCACGCGCTCTTTAATAAAAATCTGGTATTTTGCGTATTATATGGAATTGTTTCTGACCTTGTCCATTTCCGCATTTCTTTTATTCTATTTTCAGGATATTTCTTGGATCCTCGTCAATCACCAGGGATACGGTGCTTTGCTTTGGCGGCGTCTTGGTTGTACGCCCTCTTTTGGACTTCACTGCCACTATTCGGCTGGTCCAAATACACGTATGAATCTTTTGGTGTATCATGCAGTCTTAACTGGGAAAGTCGAGACCTGATTGACGTGACTTACATATACTCGTCCTTCCTATTCAGCTTTGCCATCCACATAATTGTGATTGTATTTTGTTATACAAAGGTAAGAAAAGGTGGGCTTATGTATCTTGTATAACTGTCAACATTTCATGCCTATTTTGGCGCAGATGAAATGCCGCTAAAATGAAAACCATGTTTTTAGAATTGAAAATCGGGAATTCTGATTACGTCATTTTTTCTCATGATTCCATCCATTCTTACTAAACGAAAGGGTTTTTTTTCGTGTACCAATCAAGCCACGTTTATTTGTACAACGTATTTAAATGCAATTTTTACAAAAAGTACAGCACTCATCAATTCTTCTTTTAATAGGTTCTCATGCAAATGACAAAATCCACCAAGGGTCTCAAGAAATCCTCTTTGAATACAAACACGAGCCAACTGTTGCTGCAGAAACACATTTCATGTCAACGAAAGAACACAGTGGTACGTACGCGTTCACGATTAATAACTCATCCTTTTCAAACCCTTTTTCAAAATAAAATTTCGTGATCGTTTTAACAAAGAAAGCATACTCTTCATAGGATTCCATTTCGCTTTTCAAAAATAGGCCTACCCGACGTTTTATTAATACAGACTTGACATTTAATATGGAATATTATTTTCGAAATAATTTTTTATCAGTTCTTTCCTATTTTGCTGACTGATAAATGAAAATAAGGATTAAAATTGTGTTTTGATAACTTTAAATTATCTCTTTGATGTCATTGTGACATCAGTTCATTGATGGAATTCGCCAGAGAAGCAAACAAAAACACATTGCCTATTCTATGTCATACGACTCCCATTAAAAGAAATATTTTGGATCTCCATATTTTCCAAATTATCGTCTGTAAAATTTTAATACGCTCCACAAAAGACCCTCATGTCAGTAGCTAGTCACAGTAATGGTCGTTGTTACGCCTGGCCTCTTCGTGGCTGTTGCCAGCGCTCTCAAGCGGCAAGGCATTCTTGGGGGTAGGTTTTTAGAGTTCAATCTGGAATAGCATTCCAGGCATCGGTCGAAAATTGTGCAATCTGGTCCAGTTTTGTTGTAGGACATGTAGGCAGTTGATNTAGATACATGTATCACGTACAGGGCGTACACCAACAAAGAATTATTTTAAGAAAATGACATTTGCGTACATTTGTGGTGCATTTTTTAAGCCCATATATTAGTCCTTGAAAAACAAAATCATTTCTGTATGTTCGCAATTGCGTTGTGCCATATTAGTTCTGCAATCTAGGCGCATATCACGCCATTGTTCTCTGAGTAATAAACAACGACTAAATGTTTGCAAAGGACGTCAGAATTTTTCACCAGAACTACTGAGAATCACTGCACTTATTGGGAAAGTAATACGGATTTTAAAGGGAATAAACTTAGGGTGATATTATGTACTAACATGATAAATGTGACGAAAAGGCAGAGATATGTTACATATCAAATGATTTGAAAATAGGCATTTGAATAAACAAAGAAAGCACAATGGGCCTGATGGGAACATTTTCATTATCGAACGCTGGATTTTGTTGGAACTTTTTTCAAATGGTTCTTTATGTCTTCAGCGGGTTTATTAGGAGTCTCCCTGCCTCCACATGCGTCACTAAACGGATAAAGTTACGGCTCCGAGGTTTAATTTCTAGGCCCCTGCAACGACGGCGAGTGTGGAGGCGGGGACACCATCAGCGGATTAGTCGGCTCATCTTTCGTAAATGTCCGCCATATTTGACTCGTGGATCAGTAGACCCTCGGATACTCTGTTCTGAATGCCCTCTAAGGCCGCTTTCAGAACAGTGGACTAACTAGTCCGCGGGTCAAATATGGCGACCCACTAAAAAACTTGTCGTCTAATCCGCTTATAGACATTCAAGTGGGTCGACCATATTTGATCTGCGGACCGGCAGCGCCGAGAATTAATAAGAGCTTTGGAAGTAACTGGCTCGCGCTGCCCGTAATTACGTCGTGGGGTATTCAGGGCACAGACCGTGATCACAAGATACCGCAAATAGATTTTTAGATTTTTAGAAAATAGATTTTTAATGTGAACGCAGCCTTAGTGCACTGCTCTGAATACATCCTATGATTTATATTCAAACACCAAGCTAATGAACATTTTTGCCTATTTACTCTAAAGCCATTTTTGTATTGGCTTTCAGATGTGTGCCGCGCTGGTGCTTTGCTATTTATTAGCCTGGTCTCCGTACGCCATCTTCACCTTCTGGAGCATTCACTTCCCTCTGCCGCCAGTCCTTGTCGTCATGCCGACCATGTTTGCTAAAAGTTTCTGTGTCTTCACGCCTGTCGCTTGCGGGCTGTTGAACAGGGACTTCAGAGAGAATTTCTGGCAGCTTCTACGAGTGGTTCACCTCGTTGACGGTAAAGTTGCACCGTTGAAGGATGCTAAGCTCTCGGTCACGTTAAGGTGAGTTAAGAAGATTTAACAGCAAAGAATCCATTTCAGATGTAGGCATAATTACAAGAGTGCATCAATTTATTCATGTTACGAAAACAATTTATTTCTCAATAAGCGTTATAGTACTAATTGTCTTTGACAGAGGCACAAATGTCATTTTTTTAAAAGGAGAGTCTAGTCATCGATATGTATCGATCCTATGTCGCCCAAAGTTAATTTTGAGAAATATTTATTATTTTGGTTATTTGTCGACAACATATCACTGAATTCCGTGGATCATTTTCTATATATCTTCAGCGCCGTTCAAAAGATGCAAGACAACGAAGTTCTTTTATTCAAAATGACTCAAAATGACATCTTCATTTGCGAGCAGTCGGCGAGCATTCTACAAAACCCTCCAACGCGAGATGACGCCCCCGCTGCCAAGCTTCAGCCAAGCACGAGTCCACGTGGAGGCGCACAAAGAAAGGAGTCGCCGGTTGAATTCTCTGAAATCAAACGTAGGAGCAATCACAGTGATATCCAAATGCATATTTAGAAGCAAACATTTACACTGTACATACATTTTTCACATATACTGTGTATATCTGTGGACTATGATATATGTAGGCGCTATCCCTAACGTGCACAGACAGTTTCTTACAATTTAATTGCGAAAACAAATAATTTCACCACTTGGAATCTTTACCTTTTCTCAGGCAGATGACCAAAATTGTGCTATATGTATTAACGTTTGGCGCGTGCAGCCTTATTGAAGGCCAGCATTATGAAAAGCCATCACCTATAAAAGCAATTCAGTCGTAGTAATCCGAATTGAAACAGCTATTTTCTTTTCGTTATATTAATTTCTTGTGTTTTACATTGAAACTATATACGTTGCATGTGATCCATATTTCTACACACAACCCAGCAATGGAACATCCCAAATTATTGAGTTTCATAGGCGCTAGGCTACACTGCTGGGCGATTTTTGGGAACTGCATATTTGCACGGAATAAAACTACTACATTTCAACAGATTTTGGTCGCCTATTTGGCACATTTTCTCTCGGTTCCCAGATTCAATTTCACCTATAGTAAAAGAAAACAAAGCGTTTGTTGCTGCATGGTGTCATACGCCGGGGTGGATCCAGGCTCTCTTTCTGATCCTCCGCCCTCCGCCCCCCCCCCACCCCCCACTAAAATAAATTAAAAAGGAGACACCTCACGATTTTTTGGCTATCTTTGTAGTCTTACCAGCAATAGAGGTCGTTCCGCAAGGACAAAGAGTTATGCTTTTTACGGACGACTTTTTAAAAAATTGGCACATTTACCCGGTATTGTGGTTACAGACTTCAATATTTATTATTGTAGATCTAGACATTTTGAAACAAACTCTTTAAACATAAATTAGGCTCGCCATTATGGAAATGGTTTGAAACAATATGGGACATCTTATAGACTTAAGGACAGATGAACGACTTTCTTTTGTGTTCCTTTTGCAGATAATCCTCTGCTACTCCCACGATAGTATGCTGCCAACATTCAGGCTAATAAGCAGCCTAGGGTATTAATATTGCTTGCATGCATAAGCAATGGTAAACAAAGTAATTATCAACTAAGGAGCAGATAAATATTTCCTTAACATGAATCTCACCTTCACCACTGTACGTGAGTCACCAAGTTTAAGGGTGATAACGTGCAGGCGATAAGTACCTTTGGTACATCTTAACTACGGCTGAATTGCGATGGTAAATTTAGTGCTTCGGTGAGGAATTCCATTGTTTAGTTGGGGGTAATTGTGTAATTTTGTCTGCTCTAGTTGGCAGTGACACCTTTTAGCACTTCTTACTGGTATGAAGACAAGTGAGTGCTAAAATCTCCTTAACCTCCGTAATGATGATGGTATTTTCATATGGGTGAGACTAAAATAAAATGTCTTTAATCTTGATGATGTCAATGGGCTAAGGGAGTGAGGCAGGCCGTTCATTTTTAGCTTGAAACATTCTTGAGCTGAAACGTGCTGGTATGAGTAAGATTTCCAACGTCATAAATATTTCTCTCTTGGTGTTCTGAGTACAGGATACAGGCCCGTAGCCAGCAATTTTTTTGAAAAAGTGGACCTTTTCCCATAAAAACTACATGTACCTAGATGAAATTTTAACCAGAGTAGACCTTTTCCCAGCAAAAGGGGTGGTTCTTTCGAACCCCCCGAACCCCCCTGGCTACGGGCCTGGGATACTACCAAAAAATAATGGGCGCATGTTGAAGTGTGTTAACATCCAGATGGTAGATAACTGCACCCACCAGTATTTTCTGCCATCTTTTTTTTTATTAAAACTAATTGCTTCGACCTGCATATTAAGCTTCTTTTAGTTAAACAACGTCAAACTGTATTTATTAAAACTGAAAAGACAAAATAAAGTCTTAAAAACATGAAAGCTGTCGATATTTTGTTTTCCTTTGACTTGGTCATTCACTGCAAAGACGGGTACGATGGAGGGTTCATTTCCCCCCTTCTTTTCCTTCTCATCCCCCCCCCCCCCCCTTCGTACCAAGAAAAAACGTTTAACCAACAAAACTAGACAAAACGAAACAAAATTTTCAGCCTTCTGTATTATGGCAGAAAAACAGCTGTTATTATAAACCGCGTGTGCCGCGCTTGTAGCACGATGTGTTTTCCCAGGTCTTGGTCTTCTCTAACACAATCCTTGTCCCGCGATCCACTTCAGCTGTATGGTATTGTTATTCAAATTAGACGAACCCCAAGTGATAGGTAGTCAGGAGAGCGTGATGGAGGACACAGATTCCGAAACGTGGTGGTGATTCTCTTGGAGAAAATATGGTATATTCAGAGCTGCTTGCTTGAAGTGGACACAACAACTCGTAAGTGAGACATGCATGTTGCCTTTCTCATTACTGTGACATATGCCGGAACATCAACTTCTTGTGAGGAGGACATTTTTAAAGTGTAGCCTAATGTCAGTTGAGCTCTAGATGATTATCTAATCACCACACTACAAGGGTTGGGGAGTGGGGGACACAGTTTTCCTGTGCCAGTCGAGAGATATCATCATAGAATACCCGACTTTTTTGCATTTCGTACATATTGTGATGGTTTATGCTCTTGAAATACGTAAAAAGTATGCACAGCATACATGTATTTGATGTTCGTAATTGAGAAGCCCAAAGCCATTCTGTTAGTCACATTTGTTTAGGAAGCCTTTGGCGATATCAAATGAAATTGATAACTTCTTATGCTATATTTCTATCTTATTCCAGTCGTCAACTGCCCGTAGGAGACAAGGATGCGCAGGAGAAATGACAACGCTTCTATCGCACCAGCTGCCATCAATATCACCATGTTAGACTGGGTTCCCGTGCCTAGATCGATCCATATGGATCGACCTAACTCCCTGGGGGTTCATGCTAAATTGCTATCAGCTTAAGAGGCTTTAATGTCTGTCACGCCCACCAAATCAGCTAGAGGGGTAATTTACTTTTTTGTACGCTCGGCCTAGTCGATAGCAGATAGCAATTTAGTGAGACTCCCCATGGAGATAGATCGATCCAAATATCTGTAAGAATGGACCCTTAGACGAACGATACACGCATGTGGGATGAAACTGAAATGCAACCGGCGTGAAGTTCAAAATTTTACTCACCATTTTTAGTTTTGCATTTGTAGGGGTGACCTATTTTAATGTGTATGGAGAAAAATTATATGTATGGCAATTCTTATCATGTATGAATAATAGTGGATGCTCGAGTCCTACCTTTGTAACATCGGAACGTTGGAACGGCACACTCATTTATTGATTTTTTGTATTAAGCCCCATAAAAAAGTGACGTTAAATTCGATAAAAGTTCTGAGATTTCAAAGCATGTTTGATGATATAAAAGTCTGAATTCTAGACATAAATTGTTTTGTGTCCTGTTACATGGGTATTTCCTTCATGAAATAATAGGTCTTACTGCCCGAGTACAAAACATCGGTTCCTAATTATAATTATCACATCATCTTAGATAATATTGAATGTATATATGTGATGCAGAACATCGTTGTAACAGTGAACTATTTATTATTCTTTCAGGGGCGGTTTGAGACCGTCTTCTGGGTCGTCCGAAAGACGGCCAGATTTTCAAGTTTACATTGATAGGTACATGTACATGTATCTAATTTTCTCTGTCAGAAGATTGTCGAAAATGGAGGATGGATCAACAAATATTATTTAGAAAACTGTCAGAAAATATCTCTGGATCCGCCCCTGTCTCTGATCAACTCTGGCTAGCTAAAGTGGTGTTTTACACGTGTCTTTCTGCGAATTCTGGAATTGTAAATGTACAACAATCGGAACTCTAAGTGCAGTGCAATTTTAACAGTATTGATGTACAAAACAATACCCAGTTTTAAGGAGTGTGCACATTTAGAATTCTACTTAAATAACTTGAATGGTGGAGGCAAATATATTAATCAAGCAGTATTTTAAACAATGTCACCTTACTCTTGGATGGTAATTGAATGGCGTAATAAACTCGAATTCATCCAGGCAGAAAGAATTTTGATGCGAATTGCGAGCTACAGAGGTCTAGAAGATGAAATTGCTCCATCGTTGTAATGCCCGCATTATAAAGAAATATATAATCGTTTGTTAAATGTAGGGAAACCACACCCAACATCCAATGTACGTAGTAATAAAAATCCATTAATGTGTATTTGATGTTCGCAATAGAAAGCCCAAAGCCATCGATATCGTGTTGGTCACAATTGTTTAAGAAGCCTATCAGAAAAGGCAGTTATCGATTAACTGAATCCATTGACTACATAAGAAAACTTTGTAAATGAGCGACATGTTTTAAGCACCATATTTATAAGATTATGTTGTAGTCTACATTTAGTCCCATCTCATTGTAGTCGAGTGCCATTGTATTGAAGATACATTTTCCTCAGTACATTCTGGTCGTAGATTTAAGAAATGTCATGGTAAGACTTTATTTTTTGCCACATTAAAGTTCTAAATCCGATATCAGTTCATGTCAGGTCAAATGTTAGCATAGGCTTAGCATGCCTCTCAGTAGCAGATTTAATGTTGTTATTCTGTTATCGAATCATTCATATGTTTAAAATGTTGTTGAAATAAAATTAATAAATCTAAACAACCTGGGGTAATATTTCAGTAGGTTTTCTTCACATTTCATTCTCCAATGGATGTATATATAAAAATTCAAATAAATGATCACAGAAAAAAGTTTTATCGGTTTAATTTTTGTTGGACTCGATCTCCTTCTCTTGCACCTTCTTCTCTTGTCCTTTTTCAAGTCGGAAGTGTTACCGACTACGCTAATCGGCCAGGGAGAAATCGCACAGTTCAAATGAAACCTTCATAGTAAACTCCGTGGATCGCTTTTCTTTTCTACAAAATGAAAACTCTGTGGGACTCGATCCTGTCATCTTCTGGTTCCCAGTCTGACGCGTTACCGGTTCGTCTATTCACCCAACCACCCACCCTAAACTTTCGATCTTTCCTTTATAGTTGCTGATGACGTAGGCCAAACCACTGACATGTTTCAATTGAAACTAATTACTCCACAAAATGAATCGGTATGGTATTTACAGATTCCAAAGTGAAATGTACGCACGGAAAAAGTTTAGCTGTTTTTTAATGATCGCTTTTGTCAGCATTAAAGCAAGTAATTTAGTAAAATAGTAATATCCTAATTTTACAGTGTTCCTAATTTTTTTCCTTCAAACCGAGAAGTTCAGGAATTATCTTTACTGTTACATGATAAGCATCAGCGCCGAAAACGTGGTCCCAGATTTTCTCTGCCGTTTCAGGTGGCATTGGATAACATTTTGATAAAAACTGAGGTCCCAGGGTAAAGTAATGGAGACACTCCACACGCAAACCAGGGCCCCGTAACTCGACAGCATCGCTCATTGCGACCGAGCGCAAGCGTCTCGATTCCATAACTCGCCCATATAATACACTGTAGCCTTTATGTGATATTGCTATTTGGAATACGGGATGCTTTCGAGTTACGGAGCCCTGTACTTTTCTCAGTTTTCGGTCTTACATGATAACGGCACCTCCGGTAAAGTATCGTTAACATGTAAGGCTGAAAACTGAGGTAACATCAGTACATGTGCGACAACAGCTAAGGAAAACTAGTAAAGAAAGATGAAATTTACAAGCGTTTATTCACATTACAATAAATAGTACTTGCAACAGTGTACATTTCTCAGCGAATAAGTATTTATTTATTTTATGTTATAAATCTATAGTTACTTTAAGATTTGTGAATAAAAAAACTAAAACAAATTTTGGGAATTCTTTCACGAAAATATTGCTAACTTGAATGAATTTGTTTATATAATAACAAAGCCTACAATAATGTCGATTTCACTTACGTGAACATCAAAATCAGATACTGTTTCTAGTCTTTTAGATGACACATATCGTAAATGTCATGAATATGTCCGCATTCCTTTCACAGCCCTATCTCAATGTCACCCACCAGTCTAATGCCACGTTTTTAACATTCCACCAGTAATCATTATCCATAATTCCCGTGTCAGTTTCAAGGGTAGAAGATTCGTTCCCATGCACTTGAAATGAGCATTTTTTCCGCAGGGGCCACGTGGTCGTTTGTCCCTTCTTTTTGTCAACAGTTATCATCGCGGTCCTTTAAAATATTCCAGGCTAAATGACACAAATAAACAACGAAAGAATGTCCACAACATTCAAATCTTCCACGCTAGTAAAAAATGACATTTATCTTTATCTTCTTCACCGCCTGCACTGGGGTCTCTTAGCCTATACTCTGACGTCACCGGCTGGTCAATTCTCTGGCATCCTTGACAACTTGTCGTCTTTACTTGTCAATATGTAGGTCACTCGACAAAAATGTGAACACAGTTTGCGCAATATATGCATACTTCTTACTCACCCCTCCTATTTTTTCTGCCTTATGAAATAGTACCCTCCAATACCGAATGAAATCAACAATGGTTTTAAAAATGTATTTCAATTAAAATACAACATCAAATATTACTCAAAATGATAATGAAGAGACTCAAATGATTAATAATTTTAAATCGCCCATATGTTAATCTGTATCATTTTTTTTAATCTATTGAAAACTAAAAGGGATTAGTGCCAATAGGGCCCACTTTCACAATTGTCATCAACCCCATTTACAAACCCAGAGGAAATTAGTGGTATAACCTGAAAAAAAGAACGTAAACGAAAACAAACATAAGTTAAAACTGTGACAGACTTTATTAACATTTACTCGCCAGAACTTCACATACGTAATATGCAAGTACAGGCCTATAATATCAGTTACGACTAGCTCTTACATCCCAAGTCAGGGGCGGATCCAGGATTATTTGAAGGGGGGGCGTGGATGCGATGCCT